ATGCACCTGGCAGCTTTGCATTGGTAATTAGTAATTTATTTCTCATTTAATTTGATTCCTTAATTCTTATGAAAATAATTCTTTATAGTTTGGCGGTTCGGCCTTTGTCAAAGAATATATATTTGGCCTCAAGGATTTTTCCAAAGCCACATTTTTCCAAAACTTTTGCGCCTCAATAGGCGGTGCTATAGCTTCGATCAGTGTAGCTCAACCGCTTGATGTTGTCAAAACCCGTATTCAAAATAGACCATTTGAATCACCTGAAAGTGGTGTACAAATAATCCGTAATATGATTAGGCAAGAAGGTATGTTTTAGAATATTATATATTGACTTCAAACATAATGACTGTATTAATATTAATGTTACTTGTACTATATAGGTATTTATTCCTTTTTCAAAGGAATTACACCAAAATTAATGGTAGTTGGGCCCAAATTAGTATTTTCATTCACTGTGGCACAGCAATTAATTCCATTATTAGATAATTTCCTTGTGGGAAAAGGTATTGGTAATCCTAATACTATCTAAAAAAAATATAGTTTAACCCATCCATTAATACTCGAGTCTACTCGCGTGTTGACTCATTTATATGTTTTAGAATCATAAGATAAAAAATAATACAAAGAATCATTCTCAGATATGTATTATATATTCTTACTATAAATTCAAAGGTTGTCTCTTTAAAATTTTATTACTTTTTTCTTATTAGTTATTCCCAGGTCTATTAAAGTAGTTAATTTCCCCGGTGCGTTACTATTTTCCTGGAAATGGAAATGAATTAAAAGAAAAATGATATAAGTGATTAATAACACGAATTCTCGTTTCGTATGAAAACGATAAATTACGCATTTATTCCATGTGTCGGGGAAATAATTGAAGCATTTCCAAGCGGCACATGTATGGACGCAAGCAGGGTTGGCAATGGAGCCAATGGAGCTCAATGGTTATGCGAATGGAGCTCAAAAAACTAGTATCCATTGGCTCCATTCAGAGCTCCATTGATTCCATTCGCAGCTCCATTGAACTCCATTGCCAACCCTGGATGCAAGGTATCTCATACATGTGCTGCTAAGGAGATGGTTCATTTAGTGATACAAATCGAAAATCAAATTAATCGATTAGTTGTAAAGTTGACAACTAATCGATTTGAATTTTACAAACCTAACTTAGTCGACTAATCGATTAGTCAAATGATCATATAAGAATATCAACCCGACTGTTTCAGTTGCTACTTTACGTGTATTTGACCAAGTTTCATTTATTATTTGATTCAACTAATCGATTAGTCAACTAATAGATTAATCGATTAGTTGGTCAATCGATTATTGCAAAATTTTGTAAATTTTGCAGATCAAAAAAGAAAAAAAAACCCCCCGATTATGATTACGTAACGATTAGTGATTTCCGATTTCTAATCTTTAGATTAAACTTAAATTTTATAAAAGACGTAACAAACTCTAATTTTAATTTATTAATGATATTAAGTTAAAATTAGAGTTTATTACGTCTTTTATAAAAATTTACATAATATTAAAGTTTAATCTAAAGTTTAAAAAAAATATATGAATAATCAATCGAATATTTTTTTTTTGACCTGCAAAATTACAAAATTTTGCCAATCACAATAATCGATTGGCCAACTAATCGATTAGATGAATAAAATCGATTAATCGATTATTGAATAAAATGATTTTTCATCGATTTGTATCGCTAAGTTTCATTATTCAATGCTTAATATGATCAGCTTATAAATACTGTATTTCTATATCTTGCAGCAATTTAGAGTGCCAAATTTTGATTTATACCCGGGTATATAAGTATGGGAGTACATACTTATGTACTCGGCATAGAATTAGTACTCTGCAAAATCAAATTTTGAATCAAATATTTGATCAAATTTTTAAAAAATTTGATCAAATATTTGATTCAAATTCAAATTTTGATTTGATTTTGCGGAGTACTACATAGAATAGTGAAGCATATCAAAAATATAGTACTGTAGTACGTACTCGTACAGTATACCCCCCTACACGCGTACCCCGGGTACTAAAATGGGCTAGGGAAATACCCGGGTACACATGTTGGTAAATCAATAATTTTACATTTTACATGGTAAAAGTATTGTTGGTTTATTTTGTAAACTAACTATAGTAAGTTATTGAATAACTATATGCTATTTCTGTCGTCCCAACGAATAAATCATTGTATTTAAAAAGGTTTATTCATTTATTTATTAAGATGAAACGTGCAAACAATTCATGCTACGTATTTCTTTAGAACATTGCGCATATACGGATGTTTTTATGCCTTATTTAGTTAAGTAAGAAGTTAACTCCATAAATGGAGATAGTCTAAAGCCAGATACATAGTTTTTAAGTGGTAAACTAAAATCACGTGCCATATTAAATACTGGGGACACCAGTGACTTTAGTTTATCTCCATAAATGGTAAATAAAAATGAAAAATAAATAAATAAATAGCATCATCTTACGTAGCAAGTCTCGTTGGTGTAGTTGGTTATCACGTCTGTCTAACACACAGACGGTCGGCGGTTCGAATCCGCCACGAGACAAAAATTTTTCTTTTTTCTAATTTTTATTTATTTTTTTTTAAGAAAATTTACCTTCATAATTGTGACTGCATAAATATAACGATAAGAATATAAAAGTGATAAAAAGTGCGTTAATCTGATTATAAAGTTCCGCAACTGATTTTTTTATAACGATAATATAATAATGAGTAAATAAATTCTTTTGCAAAAAAAAAAATTTTTTGTGTTCAGTTACAACGATTTGTACTACTATTTCTTTCTATCTTTCTATCTTTCAAACTTACCACGAGATTGCATCAGTAACTAAAAATAAATAAAACGGATTAATAAATAATACTTATCGATCTTGCTAAGTTCATTGCCCCAATATTATTTTTGACACATAAATATTTCTCTTGTTCACAAAGTTTAAACAACTTAAGCATTATATACAAATTTTTTGTCACTTTCAATGAATTATCATTAAAAAAAAAGAAAAAAAAATCAATTTTTATCCGCTGATAAAATTTTTGTCATGAAATATAGATATACAGTATAAACTTTATTTGAATGATTCAAGGAAAAACAAAACTTCGAGCTTTCAAATTTATTATTAAATTTTTTTATATACAGTATATGTATTTAATCAAGGTTGGGTCTGAATTTCTCTTGGGGTCACTCATTTATCCACATATCCTACTCTTAGATAGAATTGTTAATGGATGAGTTGCTTCAAATTTATAGATATTCTTTTAAACCTAACTTCAAATTGGGTTGGGTTCGACCGAAAAGCTTCGGTGCATTTTATTCCATTAACAACCCTACTGATTCTATTATTTCTCTATTTCATTGCTCTATATATGAGTGTCGCCAAAAGAAAACCCGAAAATTTAAATATGACTTATATTTAAATTTTCGGGTTTTCTTTTAGCGACACTCATATATTGGTTTGGAAAAACTTGACCACCGCAAAGGTTATATAAGTCACTCGGAAACGGTTTTTTTTTTTCACGCATAAGGATACTTGGCTTCAGCTAAAAAAATTAGCTTATTTGTCCCGGTCACCACGTAGAGGTATATCCTATGACTAGGTTTATAACAACCCGGAGTTGTATCCAATAATGAATGTAAGCATGAGTAGCTAAAATATTCAAGAAAACCCAACCTAACCTAGAGTTTAGTGATACCAATCGACAATCGATTGATTGGCCGATTAATTAAAACGTCATCAAAAAATTGGGTAACCGATTGCAAATCAACTCATCAACTAATCGGTCATTTTAAAACAAAGGACATATCTATTGTCTTAATGCAAGCAAATGCATTTTTCAATCGTCTAATGCCGCACAATAAACTATAAATAAACTAATCGTAATCAGTTGATGACATCACCGATTATAGTTGATCCAATCCTACTAGAGTTAGGCACTAACGAAAGGAATAAAATAAAAACTGATACATATCGACATTACCTACGGGAAATAGCAGAAAATTATTATACACAGAAGCCCGGAAATTTTTTGTATAAGTAAAAAAAACTATTCTAAAAAACAACTTTGGGTGCATAATAAAACTCTTAATTTTACCATTTTGATTGTGTTTCGCGGTCGTAACCTAGGCCCAACCATCATATTGTTCCCGCATCCAAATCCTGTGTGTCTCTTTAGGTTAGTAATATTTTTCTGTTATCAACT